ATCAAAACCCATTTCGGTGTATAAGAATATTTTTTCACGATACGTAGAACAGTGCTCCTCGCGGCGAGCAAACAATATTTCGAGACCCCTTTTAAAAGTACTCTTTATCCCGGAAAGTGTTACGCTTCACGAGGACGCGGCGCACAAAGGATGAGGTTTTACTTCTATAAAAAAAATCGAGGAGACGACTTCTCGAACCATGTCCATCTTCGTCCACTCTGCATTGTAAAGGTCGCAATATTCATTCTCCTCCTTTTTTCTCGTCCGCCTCTCGTCGGATTTACATGTCTTGTTTCTCCTTTATTCCCCCTATTCCTCTCTCGCTCCTCCCATTTCCCCGCTGCGGCGAACCTGCGCAAATCTCTTATACCGAATTCCTAGTTTGCCGTCATCCACTATATTCCACACTTTCTATATCTCTTTTCCGCGGCATTTACATTTGCATTTCTCTTTCTCCCTCCGTTGCCATCGCGCGACTCTCCCGCGAGCTACGATGCTCGCCCATTTTCCCCATCCCGTTTTTTTCCTCCGCTCTTTCTCTCCTCTTCCCTTTAACCCCTGGTTTCATCTCGAGAATATAAAAAGAGCTGAGCACACGAGTGTTTAGTAACTTTGTCAGCGTTTTTAATCCCACCCTTATCCTACCTCTGCTTTCCCTTGTTCCGCATATATCCCCTGTCTCTCTCTTTCTGTTTCTCTCCAGCGTTGAATAAGCGTATACTGAGCGTACATACACTTACGCATGTTGTTTTTTCCTTTTTTTTTTTGAGTTCGTTTCTAGCTACGATCCAGTCGTGGTCTATGTACTTTGTAAAACCAACCGTTGTACCAATTACGAGTGCTCGTGTTCGACCAGCTCGGTTTTAGTAGCTTCATCAATGAAATTGATTCGTTTGGTCCGTTCCCAGTGTGTCGGCACACGCAAGCTGCCAGCAACTCGAACGCCGGTTATCGAGATCGAGCATATGTATGAACGTTCAAACGATTTACATTACAACCCGCCCTTTCTCTCTCGCTCACCAGCAAGTGTCTCGAGCACTTCGCTCGATGAACGAATAAAAAATGCTCTCGCCACGTTCCTTACTCGACGCTTTTCATCTCATGAATGAGTACAAAATGTAACTGCCCTCTTTAACATTTTCACCTAACTCCTATGGAAATTAGTAATGCAATGAAACTTTCATAAATTTAATATGTTTTATCGTTCAATATCCCTTGATGCAGTTCAATTTTATTAACTCTTTCTGCGTAATGATGTTTCAACTTGTATGTGAAAGATGAATATATTTAAACTGGAATACTTTAACAAAAATTAATTTGTGCAAACAATTCTGTCATGTCGAAAGCTCGACGCAGAATTTCCTCTCGGCACAGATGACTCATCTTAACACAATAAGGGTTAAATATATAGACTGGAATCAATATAACGAACGACTGTAATCCAGGCTCGATATTAAATCTCGTGTGACCTATTCTGACACGTCACGATCGGTGAACTATTTTTTTTTCATTTAGTCAGTGACCCAAATCCATTAACGAAATAATAAGAACCCCACCCGCGTTGGCACGGACACGCTGCGATAACGACCTGACGCGCATCAGCAACCCCTGGCTGAACTCGGAGGTGCGTGCAAACGTCTATCAAATGCGACATCCTCTTTAGGGAATATTTATTACCTGTCCAATCCTGAGTCTCATTATTTTAAAATACGGCACCCAAGCTGTTCCGTGAAATGTGTTAATTAAATCCCCATGCAATGGAATGGATTAAACGGAACTGGTGTAAAAAAAGTGTTGCATTGTTTTATTCTAAAACAGAGTAAGATAGGATTATGTGATCGGCTGGAACTATATTGTTATAACTAGGTCACAGCGTGGAATGCAATTGTTTAATGTTATAATCGACTGGTATTGTTAACTTTTAAAATAGAAAATTGTGAACGAGAATAATTGGATATATTATTACGAACAAGAATAAAAATGTTGTGTATTTAAGTGAATGTAACTAGATAACATTTTTAATGAAAATGTGGGTCAGTTTTCAAGTGCGATTGTTGTCTAAAACCACAATACGAGGCGGACGAATAACAGAAAATGTTGTTGATTTTTGAAGTCTGATAATTCGACGAAGCATAATGAGATTCGCAACTCTCCAAAGTTTATGCAGTGACGAAAGAGCTCATCGTATACGACTTTTTTTACAGGTCATATCCATGATTTTTATTTGAAACACCTTTCGAAATTTTGAGACAAAAAGTTTTTCCGAGATCAAAGGTGAAACGAGTATTTGGCAGTAAACTATTTTTATCGTTTTTTGTCAAATACTCGTTAACTATTCTAGTTGTGCGACTTTGTCATGTGTAGGAGTTAATTATTAGACTTTCTCACAGAGTGAACTTATCGTCGTGTCTTATCCGATCACGTCACCTACATTTTTACGTTACACCTTGAACCGGACGGTGGAACAAACAAAGGTACATTAATTTATCGTAGAATCGAAAGTTTTCGGAACTAGAGGGTACCGATAATCTCCTCCGCCGTTGTCCTTAGTTCCAAAAACAATTAAGCCCGGATCTAATGAGGTTTTCGACGTCCTACGGATAAATTCAATTATTAACTCCGGCTTGATCGATACGGGACTTAGGTTCGCCCGAAAGTTTGACCAGTTTTCTACAGTAAACATCGTACAGCAAAATCGAGTAATATTACGTTAGCTCTTTCAAGATTAATCCCGGGGAAATAAATTGAAAAACTCCGTGGCTTTTTCGTTTTGCTAGCAAAACAATTAAGTTGCTCGTCGGTGGGCAGAAATTTTGATAGCATTTAAAGTTGCGCGATTCACCGATGAACTTTAAATACCATAAATACCGAATCTGCCGAGGATAGCTTAGTTCGGCTCAGTACTTGGGTCGCCAGTTTAAGTGTTCCCTTCAATCTTCCCATCACGGGATACGGTATTAACTATCCGGGACGAGATAAATTACTGCATAAACTCGATTTCGAAATTGAAAAATCAGCCACGGCGACGCGCGCCAGGTCACGGGCTGAAAATTGACTGGGAGAAAAATAGCAGCCGAAGATTATCTCGGGACCGAATTAAAATGCGAGGCTCATCTCGCTTTCCAATCATCGCGTCTCGATCGAGGACTATAAATACACCTCTCCGCTCCTGACACGATCAAATTTTTCCGAGCATAAAGCGAGAAAAAACATTCGTTCCCACCCTTCTTTTTCGAGTTTCCAGCGTATCGGAAACTCTAGCGTTCCGTATGGCACAGGGAAGCACACGCGTTAGCGCTACCCGCCACGGCGTACATCGCGCTACGTGGGATGGGTACGACGCGCACACGGGGTTGGGGCATGAGAGGGGGGGCCGTAGAATAAACTTAGACATGTTTGCCGAGCAATCAAATATATGAGTGGAAAGTCTCGCAGGCGTTATCGATTGGTTCGAACTGGCTCTCTGTGGTGGCACGCAGGCGAATGGGGTAGAGAAGAAGAGAGAACAGTGGAACGGATGGGTCTGGGAAGGGTTCGAGAAGGGGTCGACGACGTGGAGGGTTCGAGACGAAAACGCGCGCGGGAACGGGGAGAGATCCACAAAACTAGTCTACATCGTCGTCGTCGACGGAGGGCCGAGCGGTTTGTCCAGTGTTTGTTGTTCGCCGTTGTTCGAGGGGGCAAACAGAGTTTTCGAGCCCGGCGAGAAGGAGCCGATGGAATAGACAGGCACACGAACCAACGTACATACACGCGTTCGCGCGTCTACGCGCGTGTACGCGCGTATACGTGCACGTGTACACGCGGTGTGTCAGCGGTGGAGGAATAGAGGACGCACACGAGCGCGCTTATACACGTACGCGTTCAGAGGACGCGAACTTTCAAGAAATTCGACTCTTTTATTTCCGCGCGACCTTACTACCCCATCTGGTTCGAAGCTGGTGGAGAAAAATCTCAAGAGCGCATCGTCTTCGAGAGCTCCGCCAGAGATTTCGCTTGCACAAGAAGGAATAGCGAGGGTGGGGCCAGAACAAGCTTAGGGTCTCGGACAAATTCTTGCGATGTCGGTGAACGACAGGAGTTGAATCGCGAGAAAATCTTGTCCACCTTACCTACACTTCGGATCGCTTTTATCTCCGATTTCGGGCATTCTTCTCCCTGTCCTCCTCGTGGATTCCTCTATGAAATACGTCGAGTTCTGCCAGGTTATGGACAGTTAAAGCAAACAGCCAAGAATTTTATGTACGACAGAATTGAAATTCGATCACGAAACTTGGGATATTTCTTCAATTCTGTTTTGATAAATGAAATTCAACCACGCGTATCTTAATCGACACAATATTCTTATATAGATTCGTCGCTTAAGAAAAACTTGGAAAACACGTCGTTTAATTAAATGGCACGCTATTTATTCAACACTATCTTCCCTGAAATTGTTTTCAAACAGTGTGACAAAGCGTCCGCGATTATTTCGTGAACGATCGTGGACAGGGGCAACATTTCAGGATCGTTTGCGCGCCGTGATACGCATCGTTATTGCTCGAAATCAGGAGTGGTGTCCCGGATAACGGAGCGTTTCTCCGTTCGTGGTAAACATCTTTTATTAAGTGCACGTTGCGCTCCACTGGCGCGTCAATTTTTCAAAGCACCCTCGAGTTCTTTGTCTTCGCGTCTCCATCTAACTATAACGATAAGCACGCGCTCGTACCGGGGAGTAGGGGCGATTAATCGTTCCATCATCGTTGGAGATGCTCTCGACTCTGTGACAATGGTGGAAACAGAACCCCTGTCACCCCGTCCTATCTCCCATCGAGTCCTTCTCATAGAAGAAAAAAAAAAAACGAACGATTTTCGACTTATTTCCACCGGACGTGAATTATTGCGAACGAAAATCAACCGTCTGTTAATTATTCGAATGGGGAATTCTAAGCATAGCGTCGATGATCGTGGTTCTCGGTTAATCCGCAAGTCGACTAATGGAACTTTCATTTTTGTTTCAGGCTGTGCATTCGTGAAACTTTCATCGCATCAAGAAGCACTAGCGGCGATCAATACTTTACACGGTAGCCAAACTATGCCGGTAAGTGGTAGCTATTTTTTTTTTTTACTTTGGACTTCACAAAATCGATACAGTGTACCAGTGCAACGTGGATAGATATTTTAGTCCGGAAATGATTAGACAGTACGGTATGATCTCATTTTGACATCGTCGAACTGTATTCTATTATTAGTCGCGCCAGCAGTAAAAATAATGTCGTTAAGAGAACGTATTACGTATTCATGATCATTCTCCGGGAGCAGTGAATCACCTAGGGTGGACGGCCGCGGTAATGACTGCCGCGGCTGCAAATACACCGCCGGCTGCAATCTAATGACTGGCCAAACAGAAATCTGCATAACACTTGGAGAAGTGTGGGTCACCTCCTTCTCCCGAATCTCTGGATCTCCCACGGCCTCCATCAAACCGCCAAACTTTCTCAGCTTAGGGTCGGACCAGGAATTCCCAGTTGTAATTGAATTGTCAGTGAGTTTCGTCCGGGATTCCACCTGCTGATTGGCGAAAGTTCGTAAAGCCGCTTGCCGAACTTGACCATACGGCATTCCTCCCCCTCGCCCACTCTTCCCGGCGTTGTTATCATTATATAGCTATTCCCTCGACTCGACCCGATGTATCGAAGTGCGATTACTATTTATTTGGATTAACGTCGAGTTTCAATGAAATTAGTATTTAATATGAGTGTAAATAGCCATTTACTAGTAGTGATCGTCGAGGAACGATGAGAAACGCTGTGTCTGATCAATGGGGGATATACTACTTAAACTGTACTACTGCTTGCTGCAGACCTTTACGATACGTTTCTACAATTAAATTACGTGTCGATGGATACTACATATTGATAAAATCGATGAAGAAGAACTGGAAGGTATAAAGTGATTCGCGTTGGCGTACAAAGAAAAAAAGAAACGGGCATGTTCTATATCGAGGTACGAGGAACGCTGAAAGTCCATATACACCCGATATTTTTCGACGTATCCGGCAATTGTTTCGGCATCCATCGACAGAGCGGTAGAGGGAAAAAAATAGAGAAGGACATACGCGTATTTTCCGATATAAACGAGAGATTCGCATTCCGTGTCGCGCGTGTGCTGCGTGTACGAAATCACGGATTGCGCCGGTCGAGCCAGATGGGTTAGGCGGAGGACAGATGCGAGGCTGTTACGTGAATATTACTCGTTACAACGCTCTAATCTAATAGCGAGATGTACGAGGAGAAATTGTGGGCGCAGAAGGGAACTTCAGGATCGTCGCCGGGTACGAGGACTATTTGCCCTTAAAAGAGGAGCCGGCGTGCCGTGCTCAGCGTAATATGCAGATCGCTTAATTATCACCGCGAATTATGCAAATTTTGACACTAACATTACGAGATTTCATCGCGTCCCATCGAGCCGTTCTCGGGGTACGAAAACGGAGGACGCCGCGAGACACGCAGTTTGCTGTTTCATTAGGACGATTCGAGATTTATTAACCTCGTAGAAACATTCGTAATGAACGTAGCACAGCCCGACCCCGCGCCTCGTAAAATGCACTAAATTGTCCTCGCGTTAAGTTTGTATCATTCGTTGTAACTTCCGACTAGCACGTTCCTCCCTCAGTTTTTATTCAGCGTACATTTCCAACACCTTTGACTATCCTTCTGGGTTACATTTATTAATGTACAGGGGAGATCAGAAACCGAGGAATTTTTCATTTCACGTTTATTATGCCAGTGCAGGAAAATATTAGTAGAATTCCTCGCTGGGTTTCGACGATGCGCTTGTGTCGAATCAATCAAGCATGTTCCTTCGCCGGGATCCGAACGCAAAACGAGCTCCAGAGAGTAGTTTGCATAAGGGATGAGCGATTAAGTGGTTGAATGGTATACGGCATATCGTATATCGTACGGTATAGAATATCGTCGGCTGGTACAGGCTACAGGGTATCCGATCCGATCGCAGGACTAAAACGTTGAACTCGTGGAAAGTCCTTGTAATGATTAAGGCCTGTTAAATCGAGGGATGCGCGAATAGCATCGGAACCTCGTAGATATGAGGGATCCGCCGGAACATTCCAAGGACTCTCTACTTTGGTGGAAAGCGAGCCAAGGGCAGGAACAGGGGGAGGAAAATCTCGAGCCTCTGCCCTTCTCGAGTAAGAATGTTTTCGGGTTCACCTACACCACAGATCTCGCATCGTGTACGTTGAGATCTATACATACATATACATCCGTATATATGTACTTCTCTCGGAACATCCGGCCTCCTATCTCGTTCATCGGAAAATACAATAATAGCAAAGCCGAAAAACTTGAGAACGAGCCGGGGTTTCATCTCCCGAAGATTTTACCCATTCAACAGCGTTTCGAACTTATAAGGTTAGTTTCTCGAGAGGCACTAACGTTCTCTGGAAGCAACCGAGCGATCCGGGGTAGAGAACACGGTCAATTTCACCGTTTAAAAGCAAAAATTCACCGACGGCTCTGTTTTATCGGTCTCGAAATTCGCAGCGAGGATTTACTCGCCTTAAAAATTTCAGTGAAGACTCGAGCATAGTCAGGTGTACGATAGCGGAACAACTATTGCGATTAAATGTTTTATGATGTCTAATGTATATACGTACGCAGACACAGTTTCAAACGTATCTTCAAATAGTTTGCCCCTCCTTTATGCTCCGCTTAGAGTTTAACACTGTTACTCCAGCGAAATTGCTGCTCCGGTAGTAAAACTTGCCGCAGTGAAACGTGTATCGGTAGAAATGTTTGACATTGCCATTATCGGTGGAAAATCAATGACGGACTTGTGCAGAAACTCGGCTCTAGAAATGTTATATTTAAACGTATATACGTATGTGTAATCTCTGCAGCGATCTCGCGAAATAAAGATACGATAAAAGTAAGTTTTATAGTACTGATACTTATTTAGATAAGTATTTCTAGTTTATAATAATGATCGCGAGTTAGGTACGGCAATGGTGTATGCCGAGTATGACGATAAAATAGTTTTTACGTTTCCATCTATAAAAACGAAATTATTTATGTCCATTGTTAACGTCGTAGGTTATATTGGGAGTAAAATTACAATGTGTACTATATCGGATCATGAGATAGCAAATACCTCTGCAGTCATGGTACCGTCGTTCGATATTTCTCATTGTCAAACATCCTTCCCGCGAAATGTTATTTTACACGATTCAAGTTCCGTAAACACCTTTCTCTTCGAATTCAACAGCCGTGTAACATGATTCACGTTGCGTCGACGGCTTCGTAAAGCATCTCCAAGGCTCAACCATTTTTACGCCGCTCCTAAGACCCACAATTCAATCATTCTCGCGTAATTCTTGAACCGCGAATTTCAGATCTTTTAATGCGACTTACGATTCACAGGATTAGAATCCTTACTTTCCTAAGTTAAGCATAATAATAATAATTACATATTTATGGTAAAAAATAAATGATAGTAATCGAATTTGGTTGAAAAAAAATGGAGGACGTGTTTAAATATGTAAAAAGTATTTAGAAGTTTAAATAATGTCGGAGTGAAAAAGTAATTTGGAAGCAATATTTCGAGAATCAATCGTTCCCCTTGTCAAAGGAGAACGCATTTACATCTATATTATAGAGGAACAATATTTCTCTCGGGGATTCTCGGTACGCGTGCTCTCTCGGTCCCGGCAGCGCAGGGTCAATTTCGAAATCATAGCGCGCGGTATCAACTGATCGATCATTAAACCAAGGTTATTAGCGTGAAAAATTGCCGGCCACGCCGCGCAGATTCCCCCACGATCATTTTTTTTTTTTTTTTCTGGGAGCTCATCGGGCCGTATAATGCGGTTTGCTCTACTCGAATTGACAGGGTGTTCGCGCGCGTCACGCAACGGGCAATATTTCTCCTGGGGCTCAATATTTCTGCGAGGCTCGCGATCCCTCCGATCCCCTACGCCCCCGCGTCCCTATCGTTCCCCTCGTCTCTGCCGCGGCAGGTACGTGTCACCGAATGGAATGCGAGCGAGGAGAGCCGGCCTCGCGCGTAGTTATGCCTTCTGAAGCGTGTGACATTTCTTGTCACGCCTCGCGACACGCTCGCGAAACCGCCCCTCACCCTCCCCCGCTGCGCCCGGACACGGCATGCGCTCTCCTCGCTTACCCATGGGTCTGCAAACTCCTGTAATGTCTCGTAATAAAAGCAAACCTACGACGGACAGAGACAGATCGAAAGAGAGAGAGAGAGAGAAGTGTTTTGCCACGGTCCTGGCTAGGACGTGCCAGAACGTAACACAGTCATTTTCAGCGCAGGAATTTTACGTAACGTTGCTCCGTTTTTATTTTACTCGCCTCAAATCCTCGGGACGCTGCGCCGTGCCGCGCCGACACCGCTTGGAAATTAAGTGCTCGGAATAAAAAGAACCCCACCAGACCCGCTATTTTTCCACCGTGAAACACACGCGGACGAATTTAAAGAACGTCTTTGCTTCTCGCGTATGCCCGATTCCAAGCAGCTCCCAAACGGTTTCTAAACATGAAATAACGTTTTAAGCTAGAAAATTTTGTTTTTAACATCGATGATTTTTTTAACACGTTACAAAACACAGCTGTTGGTGTATTACAGATTTAGTCGATTGATTAATTCACTATCGATTTTTGTTTACTGTTGACTCGCTCGGCGATCAGGGCGATTAGGTATGCGTACTTGTAAAGCTCGTTATACTAAAAACGAGAGAGCGGGTGGCAACGTGTGTCGTGAGCTGACGTGGCGCGGATGGTAGGGAGCCCTTGAGCATCGGTGGATGTTCCTTTTCTCTTGAAGGAAACGAGCGAAAAGTGGATGGAAGGAAATTGTCTCTGCATTAACGGAGGCTCGGAAACTGCTACCAACATTTAATTAAAGACATTCCCTGAGTAATTCCCTCGGCGGCCTCGTAATTGCATTGCTTTTATCTCCTGTACAACTGTTACTTGTTTGGCGAGTCTTTTCTATCGGGAGTCAGAACGGGAGACTAAATCCCGTGGGCAAGAAAAGTAGTACGGAAGACGAGGAAAAAGGAGCGCGATCAAGCGTGAGACATGAGAGAACCCCTCGATACGATTCCATTCTTCCTAAAGGATGATTGTTCTTAAGCAGCGGTTCTTAATATCGCTATTACCGTGATTAAATTTAAATTGAAGCGAGCAGAGCGGCTCGGTGTCTCGAAGCGTCGGCTTAAAAATAGACAATCGATTCGCTCGAACGTAACGTCGACTGTTGCGTGACCGGGGAAGTAAAATTATTGCACGGACGTTTAGCCGGTAAAGATTAAATTATCGCAGATAGGATTTTTCGTCTTCTACGATCGATCGAACCTCGAATTCATGAGGACGTTCCTCGTAATTGTGGAACTTCTCTTACCAAAATAACCTTGGCGAATTTCAAATGCGAGCTAATATTCATAAAACGAAATCCTCTTTCAATTCGTTTTCTGATCATAAACTTCTTTGACATTTATTTTGCACGACATGCCAAGGGAATCTCAACTATTGTGAGTTTCAAGGATGATTTAATGAATGACACTTTTCTGAGTTATCAAATGAAGTTTCTCGGCTGGATTAGAATTACAGTAAATTGAACGGCAACAAATATAATAGTTTGGTCGTATCCCTACGTTTCGGGTTCCTAGAGGGAATCACGCGGACAAGGGGCAATCGGCGTTCCAGCCAGTCTTGCGGTTTCAGTTGTATCTATTGAAATTACCAGCTGGCGAATTGGCAAGTGTGATGGCGCAGCTAACGGGAGAACCTCCAATCAGTAGGTAATTGCTTCATTCCGTTGCCACGTCCGCTGCAATACCGCGGTTCTCTGAATCGAACCTTTCAAAGATTCGCCTAATCCCAAAGGACCTTGGCCTTTTTCGTCTACCCGATACTTGTTAAACGGGTGGATCTAGCAGAAGTGTCCAGTTTCACTTTTCGTAATCTCGCTAATAAGTTGTCGGTCTTTAGATCAAGAAAATTATTTAAAATATTATAAATTGTTTAGTTACGTTTCTTCTTTCCGCACAAAAAATCTCCTATATAATTCTTGCAGATTAAAATAGTGTAAAACGTTTTCGCTGCAACAGCTCCATTGGCTGTTATTTTATGTTCACAAGAATATTATTGCAAACATTTATTAGAGACGGTAAAACGTTTCCGTCCGAGGTCGCGCGAATCTCCGTCTAACGAGTATAACGTCGCTAATAAAAGAACGCTTTTGCAGAAGCTTACGACGTCAATGAACGAACGAAACGAGGAAGTAGCTTTGTCGGTAGGATTATTGAAAGAGCCCAGAGGAACGGCGGCGCGGCGTTTCCGTTCGTTTCCGGCGATTTAATATTACAAAAGCCGGGAACTGTCTCGGCCGTGGTAGCTAGGTACAAAGTAGAATCCTCGCAGCCACGCGGCACCGCCGCCCGGCTGTGTGAAAGCGCGATGTAACGAAGACTTTATACACGCGAGTATAATGAGACTGTAGCTTTTGTGTCACGAATTTTAAAGAGACAACCTAAACGGCAAAGTGTACAAACATAACGAGCCGGAGGAGTGAGGAGTGGCGGAGGCTTCAAACGTTCCTCCTCGTGATATCGCTTGGGGTGGCTTTTTCTTTTCACGTGTAGTTCAGAACGTTGGATCGGAATTAATGAACCGTAATCCCCCAATAATGAGGCTTCGGCTTCGCTGGCTCCGATGCGACCTCGGCACCCTTCTTACCCCCCCTCTAACCCTCTAGCCCGTCGGCCTTTCTCTATATCGACGCGCATGCACATACGTATCGATACGTGAACGCTCGCGTAAATGTCACACAGCCAGTGCGACGCGCGATGATACACACGGAGAGAGAGGCCTTCGACGCGAGACAAATTATTTTTCTCAACGCGAGCCGACGATTTTCACCGCGCATAACGAATTGTTCGAGCGGCACCGCCTTGCACGCCGGAAGTGAACGCAAGACGACACCCTCACCGTTCCTACTTCCTCTTTACGAGGACGTTTCGCGGCTTGTCGATATTTTTCTCGGCTTTACGGAGGAACAATCATGAATATTTTTGCCCTGCGAATTTTCCCATCGCCGGTGACATCGATGCGTCGGAGCTGTGATTGACTCGTTCCACTGGCGCCGAGAACAACCGGCTGTCCTGACGCGTTAACAATTATTTAGCCGGCTGATTCTACTGCAAACACTGCGACGCGTGTTACAAGTTAGCTATAAATATTTATAAATAAATTAGCATTGATTACTGCCAGCCAATCTCTGCGAACATTTGATTAACGACAGAAAGGTGTCATTGGAAAACTCGTGTTTCGAACAAAATTTTTATTCATACGATAATTATACGATAATTGTTAATACACACGGTAGCTTTTAAACGTACGAGGGGTTTTTTAATTTTAGTTTCAGAGTTCCTCGGGAAAGGATAAGAGAGGAACAACACGTATGAGTTTCGCGAATGCTCTTGGTATTAGTTATAGTAATGTGGAAAGTTGTATCCAGCCATGAACCCCGCGTAACTTTTATGTCTTGTAAACTGTGGCCGGATTCCAGTTTCCTTGAAAGGCCGCGGTTATACGCGCGTTTGGCCCCCGTTCGACTTGGCTGTAAACGAAACTTTTAATAATTGCGAGCTAGCCATTCTCGTCCTCCCTCCTCGCTCCCTCGCCGGTAAAGTGTCCCCTGAACACAATTCACGAAACACCGAACCTATTCGACGCTTGGCCGAAAGCAGAGCGGGGTGCTTCGCGCGAGAGGCTAATAAAAGCCGACGATAATGAAAAATACTCGGAACTTTGTCACGCGTAAGTCATCCTGACAATTTTTAATTGACAATACCTTCATTCGGTCGACGGGTAGACTCCGACTATTTTTCACTCAATAATCCAGTACACAATATAATAACAAAAGCTACGAACAGAAAATAGCAGACGGAATATTTGATTTTTTTTTTCGTTGAAAAAATCTGGCGAACTAAATTGACTTCGTTCCAGCGACACGATCCATGTACTTCCGCGTTCCATAAAATCTGTAAATTTTGCCCGGGTATTCGCTTTGTCGGTGATATCTATAAAGACTCTCGACAAAAAAGAGAAGCCTTTTAAAGGTTTTGCAGAATTCGAATACGCGCTCGTGCCTCCCTCACCCCCACCCCTTCCCCTCCCCCGCATGTTTGTTAACAATAGGTAAATGTACTGCACAAAAATAATGAAAGCGCAAGCGCGTTTTTTAACGAACGCAATATCCCGGTATACAATTCGTTGATACCCAGAACGTATCGTCTCTGGTTCGAATGCACGCTCGATCAGTGCAATCAATACCTGGATCATCCTTTTGCATCCAGTAATACCCAATCGCATGTGAGCGCGTCCCACGTATTATCTTTTTAATGCGAGGACACGCGCCACTATGACTCGCACGTGCCAAATCGGTTTTAACGCCGATCATGTGTAATTTACATTATTTTTTATATCCATTGTTTCGAGCTCGCGGTAGAACAAAAGGAAAAAGGAAATTCGGCGATGATATTAATATCGATAAATGTTCAAAACGCGGTCAGCTATACAAAAATGCTTTTAACAAAAGACTGGATTTATTGTCGAACGAAATTAAAAAAAACGTGAAGGATTATTACGTGCAGTCTTTAAGCTATTGACGAGTAATAACAAGATGAAGAAGAGTAATAAAAAGTGTATAGAGAGGACTGAGCGAAGAGAGGAAATGTGGGATGAACCATGCAAAATCGCGTGACGCGAAACGAGAATTTCAGGCAGCGTGTCAACGGGTTACAATATTACCGTCGTTATATAAAGTCAGACACGCCCAGCATTTGCATTGATGACGTGAATATAATATATCACTAGGAGCTCGAAAGCTGAGCTTTTCTTCACGGCCACAATGGCCACTGGCCACCTGTTGCCTTTCCATTTATATTTTAGACGCGGTGAAAACGTCATAGCCTTCCGTATCCTCGTAACCGTCTTAAAAGGAAACGTATTTTTTTTTTTTCTTCATTGAAAAATATCTTCGATAATTCCGTTTCCCGTTCGCCATTCCCGCGACGACCGAACGAATTTCGTGAATGGAAATCGTACGATCTATTTTATCGTGGCTTGTATTTATTATTCTTTAGTAATCTTACCGAGGCAGTGTTAATATCGAATTTTCTACGTGCTGTAAATCCACAGATGAGATGAGAAACTCTCACGCGGTCACGGAGAAAATGCGAGCCTCCCAGAAAATTATACGGCTTTGCGACGGCGATGGTAATCCCCTTGCTGCGGGGGTTGCTTCGTCTCATGGAAATTACGAACCAGCACGTCTGATAGGAGTATTTGATCCCGCATTTCAGACTTGCTTGTCATAGCACGGCAATTTACATCGTAAGCAAGTTAATCCCGGCGCGATTTATCGCGCAACAGCGTCAGAACCTTCGGCGTGGTTCGTGCGTTGCGTGATCACTCGACTAAATGATTTTTTAATTGTGCTTGTCGTCATTGCAAGCGTGCTTCAAGCCAAATATTAAGTAGGCACTCATAGAATTAATCGTTTGCTTAGGGATTATGAAATAAAAATGCCAAATGTTGTATCCATTATTTTATTAATCAAAATTAAATCAGATAATTTCTTTATTTTTTGTTAGCGTACAAATTTTTTTTCATCCTAGTGAAAAATGTTTCCGACAAAAATTACGACTACTATTCGTTTTTATTAATGATATTGTCTACACGGAATGAATTGTTTAATAACCATCGAAGATCAGTCGAATACTCTGAAGACTAACTTGCGATTGGAATCATCTGTTTCAGGGTGCGTCATCCAGCTTAGTGGTAAAGTTCGCAGATACTGAGAAAGAGAGACAACTAAGACGCATGCAGCAAATGGCCGGGAACATGAGCCTCCTTAACCCTTTCGTCTTCAATCAATTCGGCGCTTACGGCGCTTATGCTCAGGTGGGTCGCATTACCGTTAATGGTTCTCGCGTTACCACATTACCGTCTGGTTATTCTCGTTATCGCGAATCACAGCCTGCAATTGTTTGTCTTGTTAGAAACGATCGGTAGTTCCGCCACATTAATTGCATCACTCCTTACTACGACTCCTCCGTGTAGGAAATTCAATTGTTATCCTCATATTTACAAGTTTATACGTATTGCAAAATTAATTTAGTACACTTGTTCGTATAATAATAACAACAATATGCTGTGGTCATACGATGCATAAGCATAATTTTCGATGTAATACGTAACTTTCTGTTTAATGTCTACTTCATGTTCCAACTTGAAACGTACCAGTTGAGAGAATCGATATTCCCGAATATGTTTTCGATTATAAATTTTCTATTTACAGCAGCAAGCAGCCCTCATGGCTGCTGCGACAGCACAAGGAACATATATCAACCCAATGGCGGCATTAGCACACGTTGGCGCTGGGCAATTGCCGCACGCGTTAAACGGCATGCCGAATCCTGTAGTTCCGCCGACTTCCGGTACGTACTTATTTCGTTAATAAACAATGGCTCCAATACTTTATTAGACATCTATAGACGACGTCAATTAGGAGAAAGCGCATCAGAAATGTAATTATTTTACGGATCACAAGAAACGTGGAAGTGTATTATTAGCGAGAGAGAGAAGGAAAGGACTCGCGCGCTTTGCAGTAGAGTCGATCGGTTTTACCCGGCCAGGGAATCTTTCTTTATCTTTCCCTCTCTTACGTCCGTGCTTGCTCGGAGCGCGCGTACAATCCGCTGCCTTATAACCGGATCGTAAATCAATACAACATTTTTACCGAGCGTGACTCAGGCGAAAGATATTGCCAGTACCGCGAAACTTTATCGAAAGCTCGCCGAACAGGAAGGTGGAAAAGCCAAAGTACCGCCTCGCGTTCCTTTTCCCTTTTCCAACCCCCGGCCCGTCCCTCGGTTTCTCATCGTTCGCTGTCTTTTCTTTGCCGATTTCGCGAACGCGCACACGAGAGGAGAGCACAAAGTAGCGTAGACAAGTAAAGTAAGCACGGAAATCGGCTCTCCGCAACCGCTCCGCCGCGGTATACGTCGAGTCTCGTCAAGCGAAAGGTAATACCGTTTGATAGGGAAATAATATTTTATTTCCTCTCCACCAGCCGTTCGCCTCTCTTCTCCCTGGCCCTCCCGCCGCAGATTACCAAGCTTTATTCCATGAGAAAACGACGTCAATGTTTCTCTCGCTGCGGATTTTTCATGCGCACCGGCTGATTCATACAGTCAGATCAATTTTTATGAGATAGTGTCAAGTTGTTCGGTTATAATTAATTTAAACACGAATAAAATCAATGATAATGATACTCCTGTCTTCGTTTGTCCAAAAATTATACAGTTGATTATATTCTTTATTACTTGGTTCACAAAATTAATGCACTACTTTCATTATTGATTCGAGAGTAAGTAATCGAATATGCAACACACCGACACATACACCCAGACCGTTCGTGTGCTTAACGCACCAATCGAACCGCGTGGGCGATCGCCAGGATATAGTCCCGAAGTAGCTCGGTAGATCTTCGGTGTCCGAATCGTCGATCTAATTATCCTAAGAAAACAGTCAGTCGATTTGCCTAGAGAGATCGGATCATTAACTCGTCGCGACGGGTAGCGGAGAGGCAGCCAGCCTCTCGGTACGGGATCTACGTTATTGGCTCTAAATATCTGATCGATATTCTGGCGATCTGCAAATCATACGGACCCTCAAACGCGACGCAAGGCATACGGATCGCATCCGCAAACCGGATCTGACGTCCTTGCCAATTATACCGTATGTACCGTAAATATATACCGTAAATCGGTCGACCGGCTGCACAGAGAGAGAGAGAGATAGAACAACTAGCTAACTGTGAACGTATGAACTATTCCCAGTTCGATCCGATCCGATCGGATCCGACCCGGTGCCGCGCGGTCGCGAGAGGGTGCGACCGAGGTCGGTGTTGTAAGAGCAAGAGGGTAACCGGTGTGTACTGATCAGGTTTGCTCGTAGGTACCGGCACAGGACAGCCGGTTAACGGGGCGATACCGTCGTTACCATCACCGACGATGCCCAATTTCAACATGGCGGCACAAACACCGAACGGTCAACCAGCCGGCTCGGATCCTGGTGTCTACACCAACGGAATACCGCAAACCTATGGGGGACGTGAGTATCAACTCAGGCGCAGTGTGCCGCCCCTGCGCAATACCCGGCCAATCGACGTCGGACTTTATTATTTTACCTTCGCGGCAATCAGAAGCGAATAACATACCCCCGAAGCTTATTTCTTAGGAGATTCGATAAATTCTTTCCACTGCGAGTTACATGCTCAGAGCTGAAGGCGAGAGTCTTGGATTATAATTGATCAGATTGATTCTTGTACTTTTCCAGTCGAGTATTAGTCGAATACTTACTGTCTGACTAGAAACTTTTTAATCTACTTACAAAGAGAGACAGACGGAGACTAGCAGATCTATCATATAGATTGGTACCACTCTCAAAGTCATTACATTTCCCCCGTCTTATCGTATGAGCATCTGTGATACCAGATTGACTAGAAAAAGATCGAAGATACCGCACAATATCGATTGGTCAGTAGGTATTGCGACAGGGGCCCTAGACGTAGGTCCGTTCGCGATAAGAGCAGAGCTTATTGAAGTGTAGATGCCCTCCATCTGTCCATTCCAGCACAAGGGCTGGCCAATGGGGAGGCGACGCTCCAGCATGCCGCCGCGTACCCGGGAATACAACCCTACCCTGGATGCGGTAAGTTTTTTCTTGCCCATTTACTTTTTTCCCCCCCATCGTCTTATCGAGGATTCCGACATGCCTTCCGTATATCTGCAGCGAATTTTTACGGAAACTTTCGTGGACGCGTTTCGTACCAGTGCGGTGCTCCTGTCTCTTTTTTTCGACACCGCAGCTCGCGTCGCGCGTTATCGAGTTAAAAAGCATCCGGGGACGCCGATTTAAATCAAATTCCGTAACGAGTATCGAACGGAAAATTGAATCAAAATTACTGCATTGATATTGAGCGCGGGGGGAATTATCGAAAATCGTCGCGTATTTCGAGCGTCCGTTCGCGTTTTCGCGTACGGAAACACGCGAATTCCGCCTGACGGTAATCTTGTTCGTCGTTAGGTGTAGCGTATGCCTTCAGCTCTTTTTTTCACGTGCGTGCACTTAGGTGAACGGACGATGGTCAGAAAGGTGGCGCGTCTTTTATTCCGTTTTCGAGGACGATTTTTAGCGCGGGCAAATGAATCCGAACGTCCGATTTTAATACGCTTTTATCCGAGCGCTCGAGCACTTAACTCTGAGAAAAAATTCGATTCCGCTGATCGCGTTTGTTGCATGCAACTATGGTCGCATGCCCTCATCTGCATACGTGTATATATTATATAGTATATATATAAATAAATAAATGTAACGGGTATACATGTACACTTGAAAAAGGTCACAAATGTGTTTCATCATTTTCATTGCGATTACCATATATTATCATGTTATATTATATAAATATCGTGACGCGTCAACGTATTGTTTAATATAATGCTTCTGGTGTGCTGCTACAGTTGTTTCGATGTTCCTTTCAATATAAGTCATGTATATTATTATACATATACATATTATATATAAATATACTTATATATAAATATATATGTGTATATACATATATATATTGTGACTCTTGGACGTATCGTGTACTAAATGCCATGCATGTTCATCAATCCGCGTGCAACGAACCGACGACACGTATGTACAGTCGGGAATCAGGCTGGCAGACACAAACGATATTACATCAAAGTGGGATAGACACGGAGCGGGAGAAATTAAAATCCAATGGCCAGGCATCAAAATGGACGATCCCGTTTCATCAGAGAGATAATCAACGCGCCGACCGAACCTAACTATAACTCCGATTCGTTCGTCGCTCGTCGTTAGCAATTAATGCACGAGTTTGATGAATTCTCTGTCCCGATGGTTAAATTAATAACAGAGCATTCGAATCGCGTTTCGCAAACAACAAGCCTCATAGCCGTGTCTCATTATCAGCTTCGAAACCGTTGAACCACAAAAACTTGTAATAATGATAATACCCGTGCCCGTCGATCCGTTTCACCGCGATAATAGAACGGTTTCCTTCCTCTTTTTTTTTTTTCTGTCTCTCCTCTTTCGCTACGGAACGGTTCCCGGCTGGTGCCCGCACGCCCGGAATCCGTGGAAATTCATCAAATTTTAGGTACATAACGTTCATAGATCGGACAGGCGCCGGGTTTTTCGTGTTTGCCAAAGAGTAAAAAATAGGATACTTTTTTCTATGTATTTTCGTCGTGTGTACACGGACCGAGCGGAGATCAGCCAGTGGAAAAAAACCAATCTGGAAATATCGCGTGTATCCGTCTATGCACGGGCGAGCGGTAACCGACGTATGATGGTGTATTTATTTCATACGGCAAACGTCGTTCGAATCATCCGGCAACGTCAATCGGAATATATTAAAGCAATGTTTGCGCGGAAATAATTAATTTCCAAGCGAAAATTTATCTCCTCTGATCTGAGCGTGCCGAAACCCATCCTCTCCTCGTTTCGTTTCCCCCCCTAAACGGTCCGCACTGCACGTACGTTTATCCGTCACAAACAAATATCAATCGCGCACGTTTTAAATATTTGCCGAAGTATAATAAACGCTGTTATAATTGCTTTCCTCTAATATCATACGGTAAAGTGCTGCGTTTAATCATCGCGTGATTGCTTTAGCGCGCATTTGAAATATGAACGTTCGAGGGTCTACTTGAAAATCTTCCGCTACCAACGGCAACACGATTTTCGTATTATCAATAATTTCACCCTTTGCGGTACTCGCACTCTTTTCGCTCGGAAAATTCCATTTGGAATTATCGTCATTTTTTATTGAAGGCTCTCGTAAGTAATGTAATAGCATCCTTTGTAATTCGAATTCCCGAGCCTGCCTCCTGTTACGTGGATACGCGCGTACAGTTTTGACAGTCGCGAGACACACATAATGAGGCGGAACGGAGCGCGTTGCGCGACTTTGAAACGGTATCGCGTGTCAGTTAATGCCGGTAATATCGGATAGGAGGGTTGCGCGAAGTACAAAAGTATCGTGTTAAAAGTCGTGGAACTATGAGAACGTTGTGAGTCGAATACCCTTGCCGAGGGTAATACGAATGCCAGGCATATAGAAACTCCAATGAGAAAGGGATTTACCTCGTTTAGTGGCTCAATTTTCATTTACCAAATCAGTCGAACGTTATTCCGACTGGATTTTTCGGGTAGAGCTGCCAAAATATCTTTCACGTTCGACGAACAGCCTCGGACGGTTCCAGGATTTCGTGTACGCGTACATACGCGAACGTACCATTTTCATTATCCGCCGCATTTGTTACAAACAATTATTATAATTGTCCCGTCGTAATTATTTCAGCGAACTCGCCGCGCCGTCGACAATGCAATTTCGCGTCAACTCGATTGACGTTAACCATGTAGTTTACCCTTTTATTAATGTCGCTCCTTGTTACATTTATGCCGTTGCATCCCCCTCGAATTAATAATTTGTTGTCAAAGTGTAGGATACTCATCAGAACTCGAGTCCACGCTGTTTACCCGCTCCGGAAATATCCGACATCTTCATTCCACTTGGATTGCGTTAAAAACGTAATTTCGCCTGTTATCAAGTTTAACCGTTCGCGAGTGAAGATTACTCTCCGCCATTCGCGAGGCGCGTAACAATATTACTTCACGGTTCGACGGAGCGCGATTTGCAAACACTTTTAACGTAGCATTTTTAATCCGGTACGGGTCGTACAAATCTTTTTCGATTCCCCGCTCGCATGAGACGCATTAACGTATGTGTTCCTGGAAATTTTATATTCAAACGTGAAAACACGTGCCGCCCACGAAAAGCTGTAGTTTATCAGAGTACACACGTACAATAAGAGAAGAATAGATACAGCATGCAACTCGTGTATAGATGTGGACACATCATGATGTATCTGTTATTTGTTACTGTCGCAGCTTATCCCGCCGTCTACGGCCAGTTTCCTCAAGCTATTCCTCAGCCGATGACCGCCGTGGCACCCACCCAGAGGGAAGGTAAGTACGAAACACTCATCAAAGTCTAACTGTTGACTGTAAACACGAATGATTGTAGTCCCGAAATTGTAGCTTCCAACTCCCAAACGTCCAGACACGAGTATATCCCTCGTCGTTGCGTCGCAAGTCGCAAGCTATTCGATTGTAATCGATGATGGTTTTTCGCTACGCATGGAAATGCGTGGAAAACTCGTTAGACGAACACTTAATTCGCAGAGTAAACTTTTTTATAATTCTTGTATCTGTCTACCATTGATTACGGTTATCAAGGCTCTGAACGATTTTTCTTTCCGCATTTTCTTCCTATTGCGATCCGTTAATTAATTAATTAAAACTTAATGGCAAAGGAACAGATGGATCCGATAATCAAATCGTAGTTCATTTTTTTTCCGCCGGCATGTCCAACTTGATTGATGAATCTTTTTTACATCGAACATGTACGGTTGCCCACTCTCTTTTTTACTTTAATCACGGCGAAGAGATGAGGGATGACCTACGACCGTTGATGAATTTTCATGTAACTATTATATTTCATCTTTCCAATACCGCGAATCGTACTGGGTTTCTCGGCTATGAATGCTGCATAAGACGGGTCTCCTCTCTCGCATCGCGTTTCATTCGTTAATTACGATCTGAGAGAATGAACCTTCAACGTTTCGCAACGGCGTGATCTGTTTTTCACTCTACCGAGATAATCTTCGGAGTTCGCTCGATTCTCTCGGCAGCGAGACCCGATTAATTAAGTCGGTTGACTCGAATCAAAATTATGACAAAGAAAGAGCAACGGGGGATCGTTCGTCAACGTGTTACCTGTTACGTGCACTTGCGAATGAGTTGAGGCGGGGGTTGGGCGAAAAAAAAAAAACGACGAGAAGATGGCGGATAAGCGGCAAGAAAGAAATAGTGGAAGGGCGAGCCGAGCCAGCGCCTAATTGCAATTAACAACTCGCCATTATTAGAATATACGACGCCTAACAATGAGATAATGCAAATAAAACGAAAGTTTTAATTACTTTGCCGTGCTACGCCTGCCGGCGATCCGTTGTTACATCGTAGGATAATGGGAAGTTTACCGCGACAACGTTCCACCCCCGACCCCTCTTTTTCGTTCAAGCCTCCCTCGATATCCCTCTTTTTCTCTGTGTATACAATCCAACGCCGCTTCTCGTCCTGTTCTTACGAACTCGATGTATTTTTCCAATATGTTAGAACAAATACATTTCCGGCTTTTACACATTCGCTACAATTCAATCGGCTGTCTATTTCGTATCAAATAATAACTTATGATAAATGAGAAAGATTGACCTTTTGTATAATAATTTTTAATGGCGCAGCGAATGTGTATTAAGCGAGATCACTTGTCAGAGTTTAAGGATACGGTTTCCATTTACTTAATTTCGAAACGGAAGTGGTATGGACGTTGAAATCAGAAGACAGCGGCGAGGTAGCCTAATGGAAGACGACGTGACGGAGACATCGGAAGAACGATATCTTAATAGTTTAACACTGTGTCATCATTGCATGACGTGATATCAGTTTTATATTTACTGTCGCTTCATCGATCATTTTTGCTTTCTTAATGTTCTATACGTATCACACATACATATAACGTGTTCTCGGTGTTGGTGCCTTTCTCTTCTCTTCATCGACTCGTTGTATCATGAAATTCTTCACCGACTCGCGGAGACTTCACCGATCGTTTCATAGATAGGTGTGTTTTCGTTGCACTTGATGTCACTGGCTGTGTTCGGTGTCGTCGCTGTCAACCAACATTGATCGTTGCGGGAGAGCAACTGTCAAACTTATGCCGCATCAAATGCATAAAGGGTGCTCGTACAGTAACAATTGTACAGGTTTCTATGTACGTGTCTAGTTAATTTATTTATTTACTTTGATGAAACTCACTTGCCATCATGTGACATATTATAAATCTAATCATACTAAGAAAGTCTTTCTGCGAGTGTGAACATTATATGTTGTATATTTGTAGTATATAAAATATTGGTGGCCACCCTGCATATATTTCAAGGCTCGAATCACTCGGATAAAAAAAAAAAGAAAAAAGCAGAAAAGCAAAGAAGAAGAATGAAAACTATCAAATTTGTAGGATAGCCATCTTAACGTTTTAGTCTGGTCGTTGATACTCCGACAGCCTCACTCTCTCGGATCTCGAGTTCGGGGGAGGTGTTGCTTTCATTAAATTCGCGTGCACGTCCCACGCGCGGGCCAATTAGAGAGTCGAAAACCAATTTCAGGATCAACGATCGCACGGCACGACGACGTGGTTAAATTTATGGCTCGTTCTTCGTGATTCCGGCGTCCACCGCAATTCCTCCTTCATTCTCCCCTTCGTCGGAACCGGAAACCCGTCGTCGCTCGGCTCTAATTTGGGTTTCACGTGACAACTACGATCGAGTTATTACCGAGACGGAATCGGCGACCGCGAAAAGAGAAAACATTTGTCACTCGTTGCGTAAAACGTGAGACAAGCCTCGTTAATGTGTTACGACACGTTTCCCCTTTTTCATTTCGCTCGTTATAAAACGCTTTGAAATTTTAAACAGATATTACGAATAATTTTTCGTTCTCTCTTTTCGTCCAGTAATTATCTACATCGCTTTAATGAAGTACGGTAGAGCTTCGAGAACTTTTCCAAATTATAATACAGATATTCAAATTGGGAAGCTGAAATTGTATGAAGCGTTCATAAGTTTTTAGTTGCATTTACGTAGTTGGAATTAGCCGGCGAAGCTGCTCAGGAGTTCCCTTAACTTTTATTTGTAAATATAATCGCGAAGTCGAAATTTTCATCCCGTCGGATCGTCGGCAAACTTAGCCTTTAAATCAATTCCGAAACTCAGTTAAAAGGACAGTCGTTCTCAAAGCCGAACGGGACGAGCCCCGCAATCGGCTATGAACTATGAAATGAACGGAGACCCCCGCCCCCCGCCCCGTCTGTCCCCCCTCTGTTGCGACTGTAATCGCACTCGGAACTGGAAACGGACGATTTTACACTTTCTGCGGTGATTCGACGGGGCGACTTTCGCTCGCGGAGGCGTGGAAGTGACAAAGGGGCAAATCTCGGCGCTGCGCCGCGTTTGAAACGAACGAGTCGCGACGAGTAGCGTACTAAAAGTTGAGTGGCAGCCATCTCATTACTTAAATACGTCTGTTAGCCGTTGGGGAGAAAGAGACGCGCGAAGGCCAAGAGAGCAGAAGTTTCCACGGTCATAATCGTCGCTAATTGACGTCGGAGTTATAAAGTTCAGTGAAATTAGCTGAATCCTTATTTGGACTCTCGTTATTCCGACCTCGCCCTCGCCCTCGGCTAGCCTCGTCTCGCCTTGCCCTCCTAGCGCTGCGTCTTCCGTTGGACTTTCTTCCACGGACGTATTAATCGCCGATGTCTTTATACCTCGCGCGGCTGACGCAAAGTACCGGAAGAATCTGTCGTTGTCCGACGTGATTTAATTGCAGAAGGAATTGCGTGTCGTTCGAAAGTTCGACGAAATTTAACAAACGTGATCCGCGTTAATTGACGTAGATCTCCAGTCACGTTTCTTATATCTCTAGAAGAAGGTTTCGTGTACTACGAATAACGTTTTGAGAAATGATCATCGCGTTTGCAGAAGCTAGGCGGCATGTCATTAGCGAGTTTTCACGCATTCCATCATTCATTTGAAATCAATCACATACTGCGAAACGAGCTCACACAGCGATAAGACGACGGATTAACATGTCTGACGGTCTCATGTAAAAGTGTCGCACCATCGTAATCAGTATCATCACTGTCACTATTATAGTCCTTATCCACTTGCATTCATAAATTGCCCATCACCTCGCTCGTCATTGTGTTGTGAATCCCAGTGTTGTGTGTTTGTATATTTGAAAGTATAAATACTCAACGTTACTTGAAGCCGCGGAAAATATCACCGACGTGACATTCTAATCATTACTCTCTTCGTCGGCAATCACGTACCTTTCTCCTTCGACATTCAATCCATCCCCCACTCCCCCGTCATTTCTCTCATTTCCTCGCAAATTCTCCTCTCTTCAATCTCATCTTTCCCTCTATTTTCATTTCAGACCCCCCCCCCCCGCCGCCTGTTCTTTTTCCCTCGTTTCATTTCGTATTTGTATTCCAGTTAGCTCGAACATCTCTCATTACATTTAGTTCGATGTTTCCTTATCGAGTCCTCTTGTATCAGACGGTTCATTCAGAAACTGTTCATACCATCACGCTTTCATCCTTCACATTTCCATGCGACGACAGAGAGAGAATCGGATTGTCATCGAGAAACGTTTCACAAATCTTCATCTTCATTCATCAAAAAGAAAAAACGATAGAGATAAAAAAAAAAAAAAAAGAAACGCATCTGAACGTGACCGGGAAGAAGGTAGGAGAGCAATGTGTGTAATCCTCGCTTGATGCCGCGAGGTCGCTCTCCGAATCGCGTCGAGAGATCATTCGAAAAAAAAAAAAGAAACGGGACGAGAACTCATCCAGAAAATTAACATTCTTAACTTGAGTATTATACTTCAAGTTTAGATGTTTAGATGTGCTCTGATTTATATGGTAGGATGCTCTATCTCAGGACCCGAAGGCTGTAACCTATTCATCTACCACCTGCCTCAAGAGTTTGGGGACGCTGAGCTCATGCAGATGTTCATCCCCTTTGGCAACGTCATATCCTCCAAGGTTTTCATCGACCGGGCCACCAACCAGAGTAAATGCTTCGGTAAGTGTATTATTTCCGCACGAAACACGCATCAAGAGTGGCGGATGAAGAGGGAAACGAAACAGGTAGATGGATCTTCTAAGTTCTTCTAAAGGTAGGAGGGGTATAGTGGACGGGTTTCGGCGATTTCGATGCCTCGCCGGTTGAAAGATGAGGGTCGTACGATGATGGAAACGGATGTTGATTGTTTCCATTTGTGATTTATCATCTTGATCAATGTTAATAAGGTACACGCTCTTAATCTAATTTCTTTTCTTCATTTCATGATGCACTGCAGAGAATCGGTCGTTAATAACGGAGACGTGTGTTTTAAAAATATTATTTGATCACGTTAATAGTAATTTTATCGAACGCTAAATTGTTCAATTTTCATTCCGTGGGCCACTCAAGGAAAATTAACGTCGCAAAAATATTATTTCATAATTTTATCAAACTGATTTAGTTCGTTTTTCATGTTTGCAAGGCAAATTCTTCGTTAAACATCAATATTTCTATCTCCTCGCAAACTCCAATTCCAACTCAAATGAAACTGGGAAACCTTTTCGGTCGATCAAAGAGAAATGAAATAAAAAGCGCACTGAAAAGGTTTCCAATGACTGTTTTCATTATACGTCAGAATGAATGGATACAGGATGTGGGCGCAGATAATTAAACAGATATTATAGTTTTTTCTACTTATGACCGCCCCATTACAAAGTATCAAAAGTTTCGTCGTAAAAAGCTTACGCGTTATTATACATATTTCCAGTTTCATTATACCTTGCGTGTAATTATCGATACGCTGATAGAAAAAGTCGCGCTTTGATATGGATTTAAAAAAAAGAGAGAGAGAAGAGGAAATTCTTTCTGCGTTGCGATTGAGGCACTTACTGCTTTGCACAGTAAATTGCAGTACTCGTATTATCATTTCTTTCTTTGAAGATCCGGTAAGGGATAGAATTCCTGCAGAAAGAAAGGGCGAAAGGAATCTTTTCCATCGAACATGGGTTAAAGCCTCTTCAGTCACCTAGTAAAAGTAATTTACGAACTCCGAGTAAAAGCGGTGGTCGTCAAGCGATGAAGAGCCGCGATTGGTCAGGCAGTAGGCCGCCATGATGGCAAAACTAAAATTGGATCGGGGCTAATGGTCAAAATTGGCTTAAACTGAGAGGGCCCTGATGACCTTTCAGCGGCGCTTCTGTTGTTAAGAGCTTCGTTATCGTGCACCTTCTCTCTCCCTCTTCCGGCCCTCTCTCTTTCTCTCTCTTTCTCTCTCTCTCACCCTCTCCCCGCTTCCTTTCTCTCATTCTCGATAAAACTTTGATAATACCGAAGCCCCTTCGCGGAAAACTTTTTATTCCTTGCGGCGAATCAGCTAATCTAAATCACTGGCTACCCTGCGAGTACCCTTTCGCGATAATCCCATGCCCTTAGGTGTCGATATTCAACTTGCCGTTTTCATCGTAAGTCGAGAAATATCATAACTAATTTCTTAATCGGATTTCAGAAATAGTTCTCGAATAATAGGAGAACTATCGTACTGTATTTAAATTACTACTCAAATCCTATGCTTTAAAAAAGATCGGTATGTCATTTCAATATTTGTTAACAGAAGGACACATCGTGTACTCTGACTATGATCTAAGTAAATAAATAATTTGATAATAGATAAAAGCCTGAACTACCAACAAATCCAGTCACTAGTCTGTGTAATTGTGTTTCTACTGATCAGTGGAAGAATGGATGATTCGATTCTTTCAGGTTTCGTGTCGTTCGACAATCCAGCGAGCGCGCAAACAGCGATCCAGGCGATGAATGGCTTCCAGATAGGGATGAAGCGTTTAAAAGTCCAGTTGAAGAGGCCCAAGGACGCAAGCCGGCCATACTAACCAAAGTCCTAGCTTAGAGAAACTGGACGATACGCACCGTACATCATAACGTATAGAGTAAGTATAAAAATGAGAAAGACTGTCAAATTTCAGACAATTTCCTCATTAGTTCCTTCGTCTGCGTGTACGACTGACATATTTCTTCACTTCTTTGCATAAAATACTAAACTTGGTGTTGTTACGCGTAGTTTTCACCATTCAAATTTAAAGAAGCATCCCCTGTCGATGTGTGGACATTACTTATTTAAAAGACTTGACCCTTTCTAATTACAGATGTCGTACAAGAACACGGGCTTATTGAACGCTCGACGATCAGAAGTGATGAGTTTGAATCACCGTTACAACGCTCCCCACTATAATAATCTAGTATACTAGTTAGATAATTAATTAGAAGATAAAAATTAGAGGTCAGTAGTGAACGACTTCGCTGGCAGCCACGCGGCGAAGACGAAGAGGCTGATGCTCATGAAACATCGGTTGTCCAGCGCTGAACCCAGTCCGAGAAATCAAACGCGAGTAGGATTCACGCTTCAAACGTTCTCGGATGCTCGGATAAAGAAAATTCTTTACTAACAAAGAAGCAGGAATTGAAAAGAACGGAACGCGTCGGTCGACGTGACACATCTTTTCGCCCGGTTCTTTGCGTCCCCTACCGTTTATTCTATTTTATACATACTTACACTTTCCGTTCTTCGGTCTCGATCCCTACTGCCAAACGAGAATCGTATCAAAAGACTCGAACGATTTTTGATACGCGTGTTTCGAACAAGACGTCCTAGTTCAATTCGATGATCCGATCATCCGGGAAGCGAGTATGTACTTACTTAGATCCGAGAGCAGTCTAGGGTCTCTCGAGCAGATTATATCGTTCTGACAACATGCTAACTCTTAAAATAGTTTGATAATCATGATGAAACGTTTAAGACGATGGTTTTACAATAACAGTTAAACCAAAGAGATACTCTTAGTTCCTGACGAAACGGCACGGCGATTGTAGCCGACCGACTGTTGAAAAAAAAGTTACTATTACTGCGATTCGACTCATAGAATACGAGAAAGAAAGTACCTCTTCAAATTCTTAGGAGAGTCACGAATTCAGGTATGATTTCAAATCACCGTTACGTATTATTCGTTCGCGGACAACCTTTTCGCCTTTACGCGAGTTTTCATTTCGTAAACCGACAGCCGACACACCGTCGAATCCGGTATAGGATATCTCGAGCTCGGTTTTTCTGAACGCGCGATTATACCGATTATAATATAAATGTCGATGTAGTGACATCGTTAGAGTCGTTTTTACGTTCACTGGTCTTCGGACAAGATCGGCGACAGTGCTCGCGGTCTCTCCTAACGCAAATTTGTCAATCACTTATACAGGGTGCTCGTCTCACGCAACGTCTAAGAAGAAAAAAAAAAAGAAAAAGGAAAAATTACTAAAACGGAAACTGCGTACGAATCACACACACGGGACACACACGTTCACATAGGGTACACTTCGGTATGTACACGCACATATACATGCGCGCAGACACGCACACGATGCACGACACGCACATTGCATACATCCCTACCAGACACGCGTACACACAGTATGTAAAAGCTGTATCCGAGAATCACGGAGAAACGTACCAACCGACCCAACACTCGCGGGTTATCGGTTCTTTACGTTTATTATATACCTGAGGCTAATGAAGACGCATACACGTCGCACCGCAGGTTTTATATAGGGGACATTCAAAGGAATCGTTCGTTAGCGCCGCGTCACAAAATCGAGTCATTTCGAAGTCCGATCGTCCGCGCCACGGCGCTCGTTCTAGTCCAAAACGATATTTATTATTTAATTTTTTTTAACCATCCCCTGACTCCCTTCTCCTCTGACTATCATCATGATCATCGTCACTCACCGTCATTATTATCGATCATGGTTATTAAAAACGATTATTGTTAAACGAGAAGCGCGAGCGAATTTCCGGCCGAAATTAATATCGGGGTTCCTTTTTCAAACGAAGGATCGCTATTCGACCTGATCACTACGCTTCGCAATCGGATGAGATCTTTTTACAGGATTTCCCTGTTGTTATTCGTTCTCACGGCTCGACGATTTAACGAGAATCGTTCCCGTTCGAGGGACTGACCGGTCCACGCATCGCCCGCGAAATGTCAACCAGGCTGTGATTATTCAAAGAAAAAAAAAAGGGACAAGAGTTTAAACCAAAAGGGGCAGAGACGACGACAACGTTTATCACAAGATCGATTTCTTCTTGCGCGGAATGTTCCCATTCTGCCTATGATATGAAAGTGAAGAGGACGCGAAAGCAAGATATCAGGTCGTCTAAACCAGTTGAAGCATAGAGCTTTGTACGTACATCTTCATTTACCTTTAATTTCATTTACCTAGTCTGCGTCTAGTCATTTTTTTATGCTCTGTACAGCAGAGATTTATTACGATTATATTATTTGTTTTTTTTCTTTTTGGTGCGATATTTATTTACACGCTAAGGAATTCCGTAGAACAAATAGAGATCTAATTTTTTTCTCTCTAAATAATGTAATTTATAAATAAATATTTAGGATAAAGTACTTAATTGTTCCCAAAGGTTCTGAGCGCGAACGAAGTGCAATTTGTTTTTATGGAATAGTTTCGGTGGCAATGTAACGGGAGAGCATGAATTTCTGTCGAAGTAAATTGTTCCTGAAACTTACGATCAAACGTCATTTCTTCTTTATTCAATTTTATATTTGTACAGCAAATATTTTGAAGAATATACGTTGCTCTCAAACGTTCCTCGCTTTGGTTTTCGTTAGCGTTACTTGTTTGCGTTGCAATTCATTTCGTCCGACGGCGAACAAATTGTTTTTTTCTAAGGGAGGCATTTGCAACAAACGAATCGGACGCGCGGATGCAATATTTGCTTACGTTGGTATGAGTTCGCAAAGTTTGTGCCTACCTAACGTGAGTGGCAACGCGCGCGGTACCTCGCGCTGACTGAGTATTTTTTTATGCACGATAAATAAAACAATTTTGGACATTTAACGAGCGATGCCCGGTCGTAGTCACCGTGTTTCGCGCGAGCTTCTAACGCTATCGATTCTGGCCAGCAAAACCAGAACCAGCGATGGGGCATTACTGGGATGTACGGAAAATTGGAAAGAAGGGTCATTAGAACGAATGCAAAAAAAAAAACATTAAAGTCCGCTGGAAAACAATTAAAAAAAAAAAAACCTAGTGCAGGCGAGCGATGGAACGGAGAAGAAAACTCTGATCTAGCATAAATAATCAACCAAAGGTACCAACAATTATTCTATATATAAATATATAAATATGAATTATTAAAAAAAAAGAAGTATATAAATATATAAATATAAATACTATAAATATTGAAATATAATATAAATAAAAAATGAATAAATAATAAATGAATAAATAAATATATAAATAAAATATATAAATATATATATATTATATTGATTGATTAAAAGAAACTATAGACTTAGTAAATTATTATAGTTTAGCTAAATCGACACACACACAAGAAACAAAGTATTATTATTACTTGGAAGGATAGGGGATGGGAGGATCGGCTCTAGTCTGGCGCAATTTATGACGTGACTAAAAGCTATCTCATTCAAATTTATATGCAGGCGAGCGATGGAACGGAGAAGAAAACTCTGATCTAGCATAAATAATCAACCAAAGGTACCAACAATTATTCTATATATAAATATATAAATATGAATTATTAAAAAAAAAGAAGTATATAAATATATAAATATAAATACTATAAATATTGAAATATAATATAAATAAAAAATGAATAAATAATAAATGAATAAATAAATATATAAATAAAATATATAAATATATATATATTATATTGATTGATTAAAAGAAACTATAGACTTAGTAAATTATTATAGTTTAGCTAAATCGACACACACACAAGAAACAAAGTATTATTATTACTTGGAAGGATAGGGGATGGGAGGATCGGCTCTAGTCTGGCGCAATTTATGACGTGACTAAAAGCTATCTCATTCAAATTTATACGCTATTTAAATAAATACATATAACGAATGCTACAAGAAACGAGTACGCGAATATATAAACGAACGCATGTACAACCGTACGTACGTACGCGTACGTAGGCTCGTTTATATACGTGTGTGCGCACATATAAATAATGTACTTATAGTTTAGGGACAGGCAGCCCTCATCGCTTTACCACGCTGTTCGTACTATCTCGCACACGAACGAATCATGCGGACACACTAACTTCAACTTCACATATATATACATACATACACTTACATACGCAGGTTGCGATAGTTAAATGTAAAAGCGTGGTACATACGCGTATGTGGTTTCACGTATGGGAAACGCGGTGGTAGGTGGGAGCATAAACTTACGATACTAAATTAAAAGAGGAGACCGAGAGAAGCGCGTTATAAATTACTCTCCTCTGAGAAGCGTGGCAACGGCTTGCTACATAGTTATGAATGACACATGAAATATTATTATACCACATATATATATATATATATATTTAAAAAAAAAACAATTATATATATATATAATATACTAATAAATAATAACGATAATAATAATTATAATAATGTAACGATAGTAATGTGTAAGACGTACGCATAATTTCTAGTACGCGATAAACACGTATATAACATACGTATATATTCTTGTCAGTTTTAGCTGAGTGCTGAATTCGTCTAGAAGCATATATACATAAATATATATTTTCTATATACACGTATATATGTATGTATGTATATATGTATAGACTCGTGTATCGCGGGTGTAGATTCGTGATGTTGACGTAACGCCGTAACGAATATCCGTGAGAAATCTTTGCTACGTCGTACCGGGACTTGCGACAACGCGACGGGGGAGGATTCGGTAAGAAGGGTTCGACCAAAAAGTTGGAAATTTTTACAACAATTGTTAAAATAATGGCAATCGACGGGGACGATTAGGAAATGTTTTCGTAGAGAGTGCGCGCGTACGGGCTCGTAAATGAAATTTGCCAATTAAATCGATTCGAAGTATGTGTTCATATAGGCGAGGGTAAATGTATAAGAGAAGGTATTGCGCGTTAACGCAGCCATAGATATGTTTGCTAATTCGAGGTCCAATCACGGAGCGTAAGAGCAATCGTGATCGGAAACCGTGAACACGCGTGTGTTGATCGAATCGTAGCGACGACGCGAGCGTAAACATAATTAGGAGATGCGTGCACGGCCGCTCGGGCGCTTGTCTATCTTTGCTCGCATTGATGCATTAGAGGGTGAATATATGTATGTATATGCATGTACGGGAAGATCCACCGACCGCGCGATGCGGTCCGGCTGCAACAGCGGATGAATTGTGTTTCATTTCTCACGACGACGTTGTGCATACCCCTCGGTACCGCGTCCGGCAAAGACGATTATCGGACGAGCTGAGAGGATTAGACTCGGCTGGGTTACTCGTCTACGGGTTTTCTACTCCGTGTAGTACACATAGTCCAGCCCGCCGAACTCTCCGTTAAAATCGAATCAGCGCATTCCATTTTCGAAATAGCATTAGCGACATCGTCGCTGATCAGCGTACTGCGAACCTGGTTACCTCGGGATCAACGGCGATCATATTTTTCCCGGCGCTGTTTCGACGATACGCGAAGTCGGACGCTTTAGAGAGAGAGAGAGAGAAAGAGAGAGAGAGCGAGTCGGTATCGATGAAACGTGGCCGATAGGAATGATTTTGAGGTAACTCGCTGCAAACACACGAGCTCCTATCGTTCGTCTTATTTATTCGAACGTTCAGTGAATTATGCAATTTTTCATTTTGTGCAATCGTTCGAAAATTCTTTTTAAATCGTTTAATTCGACTTTTCTTATTGCTCATCTCCCACTTACGCGCGTGTCGACGCTTTTTGTACGCTTAAAAAATTGCTTTCTCCCAGTGATTTAAACGCGTTTTCAGTTGAGTTATACGCATTACCGTTCGATGGAAGGTAGAGGAAGCAACGTTAGATCGTCGAAGTGGTACACGTAGAGGCGAACACATATGCAGATGCACACATTTAGATTCATGCACACGCGAGCTGACACAGTGATACAAAACGAGGAAAGAGAGGAAGGAAACGAAAGACACGTATACTAGTAAAAGCTTGTATGCAAGTACCAATCGATAATATCACTACGATCTAAGCTTTTTAATGTTTAACAGTACAGTACTAATTAGCAGATATTGAGGTACTCGACTTCCGTAATAAAAATAGCTATAAATTCATATAAATATAAATGTATACATATAAATGTATAAATTACGAAAATAACGAGAATTGTAACAAACCGAAAAAAAAAACAACTATTTTATCCAGACAAAGTTTTTGCTACAACCGAAGTAGTATGCATCTTGCTATGAGATAAACGAGACTTAAGGGAGAGTAAACAAAAATATTCTTAGCTCTAAGGATTAGGGAGGAAGAGAGAATTAATGATAATAGTAATCTGTGAGGATCAGCTTCGAATTTATTTTTACATGACACGATGTAATGTTGCTGAGACGAATTCCGCTGCTCGCAAATCGATGTTCCGTATATTACTGCTCGGGGAGCGACGTGCTCGCGAGGATTCAAGCGTCCTGAACGGCGCACTCGAGTGTCGAATTTTCGCGCTTACTCGCAGTTCTGACCGGACGAGCCCGAAAACTCTATTCACGATTTTCGTTCCGCGAGACTCTTTCCTTTCGTTTTTTTTCCCCACCAAACAGAAAATCGATACTCGTGGTCGTCGTTGTCCGATGGTACGCGTCAGCCACAAAAATTGCATGAGTAACTTCGTGGAAAAAAAAAAAAAAATAGGAGGAGAAGAAGAAACCAGGAATAACGAGGGACCGTCGCCGTGTTTCCTCGGTTTCGAATCGTTCGGTGCGATCACCATCGGCGATAGCCAATTGCGGACATATTTTTGGTATAACAGAAAATTTCCTGCAGTTTTTAATGCTAGCCAGACACGGGGACGCGCGTGAAGATTCGATGGGGAACGAGAACGAATATCCTACAATCACGGATATATGATACTAACTTTTAATAATGATAACGATCGAACATTTCATATGATAAAACTTACATACTAGCATTTTACCACCGTAACTCGCACACGAAACCAGATGAAAAATAAAAATTTATCAACCCTCTCGACACTGCTGTGCCGCGTCATCGATCCAAATTTCACTTGGAATTACACTGGATTCGAGTCACGCCGCGACCTGATATCCGGTAGCCGTGGTGTCGGTGATACTAGGAAACAGGGTATGTTTTTGCAATTATTTGCATAACTTGTAAAGAACTAGCAACAAAGTAAATACACGTTTACACACATCGGGGACACGCGGAAATTCTACGACCATCACTCACATACACACGCACGCACGCACGCACACATTTCACACGCGCATACGTGCGCATATTACACGCAGTCATATGTACGTGACATACACGTGAGCTGTAACAGACATTACAACACGGGAGGCGAGCGGGGCTAAGCATTTAATTAATTGTATTATCTTTATCTATATGACTATTAAACTAGATAAACTAGAAGATATTAAACTATAGGTTACATCGTAGATTTTAAGTACGATCGTTAAAGACTTACAAATTTCGAGTCACGAATTTTTCGTGGCCTCATCGTCGTCGTTACGATT